TGCTGTTTTAAAACCATGGTTACCATTTCTGTAATTTCTCCAATGCCTTGCTGCTCTTTCCATCTAAGGAACTTTTGATACACTTTCTGATTTGCTCTTTTTTGGGAGCAAGTTTTGCCGTTGGAATCTTGCATGATTTTGCAATTTTTCGATAATTTTAGTTTGTTTAAAATAAACAAACACCGTCGCCAGAGTCACATACTACACACACACACCTGATATTGTAACCTAAATTCTACGCATATAAAACTTTTATTTGGTCGCTGTCAATTCTGACGTTTCTCGAATGTGAACTTTGAATCACCAATTTTTTCACAATTTGGGACTTGGGGTTGTCAAAATTGAATAAAAGTTTGTATTACACTCGCGGTTAAAATGAATGTGTAACTCGTGGTCTTAAGGCGCTCGCGGCATACGCCGCTCTCGCATTAAACTGGCCGCTCATTAAACATTCACTTTAACCGCTTGTATAATAAATAACTATTATGATGTAAATACAATTGAGTATATCGATAATTCGCTACTGAAAATTTATTGAAATATAATTTGTGTTAAAAAAAGATTTTTGTGGTTTTATGGTTTATTAACATAATTTACTTATTTGAAATTAAATATTTTTAATACATAGCACAAGTTCTTGATATTCTTTATTTTTATTCCAAGTAATAATTGTGTTTCCTTTAGTTTTAATCAAGAAAATTTTTCGGTTATTATCTAACATACTTTTGTACATTAAGAAACTCCATTCCACGTCACAGGACGTTACAGGACAATATTTAAATAAATAAAGAAGTCGTTTTATGTGTTTTAAAATTCACTCTGATTTCCGGACTTTAGACTTTTTGGTGTTTCACTTCGGCACAAGAACTAGTCGTATCTCAAAGAAAACAAACAGTGGAATATACCGTATTGTACCTATATTTCATAGTAAAAATGTCTAAATTTTTTTATGAAGAGACAGACTGTTCTAGGAAACTTTACTAAATCTTTTCATTTACGAGCTATTGAAAGTCCGCCGGTCTCACTGATACTTCTTACTTGGCTCCTACGAATGAAGCGAAAAATGCACAGATTGAAAATATAGTAAATGGGGTAGTATGTATGCGTGATATGTCGTTAGACATTAGGTATTTTGCAAATAAAATTTATTTCATTGAAAACAGAAACAATAAAAAACATATCTGTACAAGTTTGGTTGGAATCGATATGGCCAGTTGTTTAGAATATGCAAATATGCTTTTGTTCGTATTTACAATTATTACGAAACAGGTTATCAAATAATCTATTTTCACATGGCGAGACTTTCAAGCGGCCGAAGAATTAAAAACCATAAATTTTCATTGAAGAAACAAACTCTTCCAAGAAAATTACCAAATCTTTTAGTTTACGCACTATTGGACGAGCACTCCTTAAAACGGTCAGTATACCTAATCGCATTATTCCATTGATACCTACCTACCGAAAACGTTGCCAGATGAGCCTAACACAAATTTGCGGATATTTCTCGTCAACCAGATATTATTTCATTTAGAAGTTTCTGGTAAATAAATGGGATTATTGTAATGAACATATAAAACAAATAAATTGTGATTATTATTTGTTGTTTTAACCCATTAGACGCTTATAGGCTTATAAGCATACTTTTCTTGAAAAATCGGTAATAAATTCATTCAGTGAAACATCTTTGTGCCTTAATTCCTATTGGTAAACTGGGATTTTGAATAGAGGTCGCAGGAAAATTTTGTATGGTTTTATGGTTTATTTACATAATTTTCTTATTTACAATGAATGTTTTTGATATATAATACAAGTTCTTGATATTATTTATTTTAATTACATTTAATAAACCATAAAACCACAAAAATCTTTTTTTAACACAAATTATATTTCAATAAATTTTCAGTAGCGAATTATTATCGATACACTTAATTGTATTTACATCATAAAATTTATTTATTTTACTTCATACTATGTCAAGTTTGACGTTTTACTGGATCGAACTATTCCGGTAAAATAAAGAAAACGGACAAGTCCGATAAAATTGAGCCAAAAACACGGAGGTAGAAGAGACACTCTTCTACCTCCGTGGCCAAAAAGGACAAGTCTTCCATTTCCGGAAGCGGCCACTGACCCTTTTGGGTCTCTTTTGCTTTACCTGTTATTGTAAATACAAATGTAAATTTAGTATTTCTGTAACCGTCCTGTATTAAACATCGAAACCGAACGCTGTCTATTATCTCGCACGCAAGAAAACAAAGGTCCTTGGAGCAATATCAAAGTACAATTCGGTATCACATTGTCGTATCAACCAGATTACAAAAAATACTGGTAGGACGAGCCGAGTTGCACAAACATTGGTCCTTCGAGACGGATTGCACAAAACATTCGTCCATCGAGTCGGATTATACAAAACAATAAGTCCTGTAAAGTGTTATAAGTACTATGTGTTTAAACATATGATGCTGATTCGCACGAATAAACAAATTAAAACATTTACCAAAGAGCGGTTGCTAACGATGTCAGAAAAAGTGACTCGATTTGGATTTTTTCTCAAAATAATAATAATATTATCGAATAAAAAAGTATGTTGACAGTATGAAATAAAATACATAACAACATACGTCCGGTAACTCTTTTCGCAGTACTCGTTTCGAAATTAAAGACTCGGCTACCTACTCGTCCTGAAACATATCACTCGTACTGTAAAATTTGAGCTACCGGACCGGACCGTATTTAGAATAACTTTAATTACCATTTATGTTTTCATCAACACTAACAAGTATTTAAAATAACAAGTAATAATTTGTTTGTATTGTTTATTCATTATAATAATTCCATTTATTCACCAGAAACTTTTAAACGAAATAAAATCTAATCGACTAGAAATAACGGCAAAGTTGTGCTAGGCTCATCTGGCAACGTTGCAAATTATATAAATGGTTACTATGAGATTTTTACACATTGTTTTCGTCGCCCTCTGTCGAGTGGTAGCTTTATTAAATGTATTGTTGCTGCGATTTGGGTTATCTACGCGCGCGATTGGTGTCCAAGCTTTTCGCCGGCGTTTGACGGCCGACTGTTGGTGCGCCATCTCTTGTTCGCCGGCCGTTGGCCTGTTCGCTCCAAACAATAGCATGGGTCTATCTATATGTATTTAATCAATGTATCGGCGCTGCCGAGGACAGCGCCCTCGAAAGGGTACTAGCGGAGCGCTTTGAAAGCTCCGCTACAGTTTTTAATTTTTTTTAATTTTTCAAAGTCTGATTTTTTGGATATTTTCATTTTTTGGATTTTTTGGATTATCGGATTTCTTGAGTTTTGCATTTTTGGATTTTTTGAATTATTAGATTTCTTGAGTGTCTTGGGTTTATTGGATTTTGTGGATTGTTTGGATTTTTTAAAATTTGTAAATTCTTTAATTTTTTTGGATATTTTCGATTTTTTGGATTATTGGGTTTCTTGGGCTTTATTTACATTTTTGAGTTTCTTGAATTTATTCGATTTTGTGGATTGTTGCAATCTTTGAGATTTTTTGATTTCTTAAATTCTTCGATTTTTTTGGATATTTTGGATCTTTTATTCTGCCTTTGATTCATTTTGGATATTTTCGATTTTTTGGATTATTGCAGTCCTTGGGTTTTGCATTTTCTTTTAGATTTTTTGTATTTCTGGGTTTATTGGTTTTCTTGAATTTCTTGGATTTTGTGGATTGTTTGGATTTTTTAAAATTTGTAAATCCTTTCATTTTTTGGATATTTTTGATTTTTTGGATTATTGGATTTCTTGTGCTTTCCATTTTTTGGATTATTTGGATTTCTGGAATTATTGGATTTCTTGAGTTTCTTGATTAAATTTTGTGGATTGTTTCAATTTTTTAGATTTTTTGATTTTTTTAATTCTTCGATTTTTTGGATATTTTCGATTATTTTGACTATTGCATAGATTTTTAGGTTTAGGTAACATTTTTTGGATTTTCGGAATTATTGGATTTCTTGAGTGTCTTGGGTTTATTGGATTTTGTGGAATTTTTGTTTTTTTTTAGTTTTTTTGAATTTTTCAGCCTTTGATTTTTTGGATATTTTCATTTTTTGGATTTTTTGGATTATTGGATTTCTTGGGTTTTGCATTTTTGGATTTGAATTATTAGATTTCTTGAGTGTCTTGGGTTTATTGGATTTTGTGGATTGTTTGGATTTTTTAAAATTAGTAAATTCTTTTTGGATATTTTCGATTTTTTGGGTTATTGGATTTCTTGGGCTTTACATCTTTGAGTTTCTTGAATTTATTCGATTTTGTGGATTGTTTCAATCTTTCAGATTTTTTGATATCTTAAATTCTTTGATTTTTTTGGATATTTTGGATCTTTTATTTTGCCTTTGATTCTTTTTGGATATTTTCTTTTTCTTTGGATTATTGCAGTCCTTGGGTTTTGCATTTTTTTAGATTTTTTGGATTTTCTTGAATTTCTTAGATTTTGTGGATTGTTTGGATTTTTAAAATGTTTTAAATTCTTTCAGTTTTCTGGATATTTTCGATTTTTTGGATTATATTGGTTATCTTGGGCTTTGCATTATTTTGATTTCTGGAATTATTGGATTTCTTGAGTTTCTTGATTAAATTTTGTGGATTGTTTCAATTTTTTAGATTTTTTGATTTTCTTAATCCTTTGATTTTTTTGGGTACATATTTTCGATCTTTTTGATTATTGGATTACTTGAGTTTTGCATTTTCTGTTTTTATTTCTCTGAATTATTAGACTTCTTGGGTTTTGCATTTTTCGGATTTTTTGGAATTATAAGTCCGGCAACCACCGGCAACTGTCAAATAATATCTGGTAGATTTCCACTGTTTTTAAGTTAAGTTTACTAAGTTACATTAAATTAATAAAATCGTGGACTTGACGCAGGGAGACTTGTTTTATTCTTTTTTTTTTGTCTTAAATAAAAATTATGTCTTCTTTTTTACATACGGATCATTACATTTCAAACAATTTTTTTTAGAGATTAACCATATACTTAACAGACGTCCTAAAAGTTTGACCAAAACACCAGCCTTGAAGATTCCGTTTTAATAAATAGGAAAATAGGTAAATCAATTATCGATTATTTCAGATTAATCTCATTTATTAAAATGATAAATGTATAAGTGGTGAATTATGAGTCCATCCCAAAATCAAAATCTGCACGTTGCTGATTTATTTCCAAGAATATTAATAACCTTCATACAAAATATTCCTTGACATGCTAGGCTTTAGAGACGAAGGAGGCTCGTTTTAAAATTTTATATTAAACAATCGATAACAAATGTTAGACTTTGCAAAAACTTTAGAAAATCACGGATACTGACTAATGACATTCCTAATATTTTCAGGTTTTAATAAATCAAAATGGCCAATGAAGAACAACCCAAGGAAATAATAACCATTACCGATTCTGCGAAGATTGATGAAGATATGTCGGGTTTTTACCAGAAGACGACATTTTCTGATGTAAATTTAGTCTTGGCTAACAAGACCATCCCCGCACATAAAGTAGCTTTTTGACCCATTGATCAATAAGATCAATTTAATCAACTTTAAAATTTCAGATAGTTCTTGCGTCCAGGTGCAAATATTTTAAATCAATCATAACAGAAGATCCCAAACAAGTAAGCAACTCGTTATGAAATTTAAAAAAATCAATGTTCCATTTTAGTCGGAGATCTTTTTAAAGGACGTACCTCCAAAAGCTTTCGATGTCGTACTGAATTACATTTATACAGGTTGGACAAAAATCACTCCCTATTTTTTTAAGGATTTTTCTTCTCTAACAACTGTTACAGGATCTATTTTTATAAAGTCATCACAAGAAGACGAAATAGTGGACGTATTGCAGCTAGCACATAAATACTCACTTAAAAAACTGGAAAAAACAATAACCGTTAAAATGACTTCGATTATAAATATGTCGAACGTTTGTTTGCTTTTAAATAAGGCCGATGAGCTCGACATGGAGGAATTAAGGAAAATTTGTCTTGATTTTATAGATAAACATTTTCCGGAAATAATTGACACTAATTTTTTGAATGTTTTAACGCAAGTATGGTGGTATGCATGCTATATTTTTGATACTAGCGTTGTATTTGTTTCAGAATTCTATGGTTAAATTGCTGGAGAGAGATGTGGTTCCTGCCAACGAAATCGATATTTTTAAACTAGCAGCAAATTGGTGTAAAAATAATGTAGATACGGACAACTTAGTTATCGGATGTGTTCGTTTAAATGAGTTAACCGAAGACCATATTTTGGATTTAGTTTGGCCATCTAAGTTAATAGAAAGCGATGTATTAATGCATTCTCTTGTGAGTATCAGAAATAAGATACCGAACGAGCAACGTACGAATAAAACAAATAAATAAATGGAACCTCTAAAAACTGATCTAAAGTTATTTAGACCCAATTTCCCTCGCCTCCAAAATACAGTGCAAAACATATCTCGTTTTTTGGTAAAGTTGTAAAATTATCTGACAAAAGTTTGGACTTTCTAACGAATTTTTGAAAATTTTGGTCCCGAACCACGAACACGATTTTTTTTTTTAAACTTAGTTAGTTTTTCAGTAGGTACAAAGTACAAAATTTTGACTTTTCTTAGATCACCTTCAAAAGTTAGGTACTTACAGATATTGATTTCTAGAAGTTGTTTTCGGTTTCATTTTGTCGAAAATCCATTTTGTCATATTCGGGAATATACTTAAAATGTGGCAATTTTTAGGAATAAAGAAACTATATTTTTACTCTGAATATTTGAAAATCTCGATCCGAGGCCAAAAACATGCTATGTTTTTCGAATCAGCTCGTCGAGATCTACCTACTTCTCGCAATCTTTTCTGTATTTTAAGGAACTTTTAGGCAACTTTTCAAAAAGGGAGTTTTTTGTGGAGTTTGGATTCTGGAATTTTTTAGCTTCATTTCAGTTCGAAAATCACCAAAACTTCTAGCGTCTTTCCAAAATCGCCAATATAAATAAAATATTAGGGATTAAAGGATTAAAACAAAACTTTTAAAGCGAGAATTTCGAAAAACTATTTCAAATACTCAATTTTTCAATCCCTCCCCCTCTACGTCAAATTTTTTACTTTTTTTCATTTTTGGAAAATTACCGAAATATATTTTTTGTAAACTTAGACATATTAAGTTATTTTCAGTTTCATTTCTTCGAAAAGTCGTATAAATTCTAGTATTAAAAAAAATTGACTTTGAAACCGAATTTTTCGAAAATCTTGGTCCGACTCCATAAACACACCATGTTTTTGGTTTAGTTCAATTTTTCAGTATGAACTTTTTGACCGACTCTTTCGAGCATCGTCAAAAAATAACCAACGAATTTTTTCTATTACAGAACTCCAGAAGTTGTTTTTGTTTTTTGTTTAATTCTTATCATTTTGTCAAGCAATTTTTATAATCTTTAAAAAATTGGCTTTCAAATGGAATATTTCGAAAATTTTAGTCGCAGACCATCAAAACGAACAGCATCTAAGAACTAAATCAAGATAAAGAGAAGATAAAAGTGGTTCTGAAAAGTTTATTTTTTAATTGACACTAATTGTCCCTTTACGACAGACAACAAAGATTGTTTTGTAGGATACCAGAAGATGACAATATTGTTCAAAGAATAGTTTTATGGTGTGCATTACCATTAACAATTAGGTATACAATCAGTAAAAAATATCTTTTTACAAATTTTATGGGTCCAAGACAAAAATAATTCTTGTTAGAAATAGATGCACAATTTTCTTGATATTATTTGCGTCCTCTCAAAAAAACTAAAGTTTCCTGTTTGTTCTTCTGCTGAAGTACTGAAGGAATGTTGCTGTTATCAAGTTCTTGAAAGATATCTGTATTATTCACTTTTGTTTTTTTTTTTGATAATTTTTTAACTATTTCTGGTTTTATTGATATATCTATAAATTTAAAATTCTTCCGTCACTTCAGACTTCAAAATCTTCAAGGAAAATATTTTTTCTTTCGTAGTCCTATTACAATCTCATTTTTTATTAGTTTTGTTCAACTAACAAGTAACAACATTTCTATTTTATTTTCATTTATAACTGCAACTGTGACTCAAGATTTTATCAACAGGCTCTAAAATTTGCAAATTATTCTTCATAAAATCACTGATAAAACCTCATATAAATCGACACTTTCTGAAGAACTTTTAGAATATTTTTTCCCATTCGAAGAAAAACTTGAACTGGACATAGAAAATAAATTAAATAAAACGTAAAGTTGTTATCCGAGAAGTGGAGCTAAATCTGAATTTCAACACGGTATTTCTGTCGTAGGGCGCTTAATTTATTATCTATTATGGTAGACTGTGTGGTTTCTAAAATCAATTACAAAATGTTATTGTTATTATTCATTTGCAAAAAGTTAGAGACAGGACGTTTACTTTATCAAAATATATATTTACCTGTTGCTTTTAAATTTAATTGTCCACGCATTTAGTTTGTAAAGATTTTTTTTTATCTACACTCGCACTAATTAATGGAACATTTACTATGAAATATGGACATTTTAATTCCACTATAGTATCTTCATCTGTAGTACCATACGGATTAGCGTCTAGGAAACCATACTTCTTGCGAAGAAAAAAAAAACAGTCCGGAATTGGGCATATACATATATATGAAAATAATTTGGCAACATTAACTTTTTTTATTTTCGCAATGTATCTTTTATTTTTTTCGAAATAAACCTTTTTGTTTTTATTCGTTTTTATTACATTATGTTGATATTCATCGGAAATCTACAAGTATGTATCGTAAGAAAGAATGTGTGAATTGTGCGAGTAATAAATTAAAATCTGAAACAAATCATTACGTTTATAGATTAAAGATACATTTTTTTCTTTTCTTTTTATGATTCACGATGGTACGATTTGAGCAAAGTAGTGTGTAGTACATTGCGTACCGAATCAATGTTTAAATATGTTCATATGAAGCGATTGTGATCCTTTTTAATTTGGGTGGCGACATCTAGAAATATTTTAGGCAACGACCACCGATGACGACTTAAAATTCGGGTCAGAAACATTCAAGGTGCCGACAAGAGTTTTTCCTACTGGATGATTCCTATACTGTGCTTCAGTGTTGAGCCCGTCTTAAACTGCGTAAAATCTAAACAAAATGCTGGAAAGTGACGAGACTGTGACTATTACAGACACCACCGAGTTACTCGGAGATGTCGCATCTCTCTACCTCAACCAGAAATTTTCTGATATTACGTTGCTCGTCGATGGTCAAAAGCTATATGCTCACAAGGTTAGTCTACAATTACTTGGTATGAGTTACCAAAAATGTATTAGAAGTAAATTCACCACGAAATGTGACAGGGGCGGGGCTCATGTTGCGCAACTTGTAGTCTGGCTAGCAGTGGCGTACCATCGATGTATTAAGAAGGGAGACTCTGTTGAGTTATATTTCTTTTAAATACAATTTAAAAAAAGAACATATACAAAAAAAAATAGAGACAACCATATAACAAAAATAAATTTGTTTGATAAAAAATAGATGAAAAATTTTCGTCTAATTAGTGACTTTCGGTATAGGTTTTGTTTTTGTCGGTGTAGAGAAGCTTGATTTTTCCTCAGATTTGACTTTTCCTTGCTCTTTTACAATGCTGTGATACGCGTTTTTCGAAATTCTAGTAGCTGCCCTACAGTAAGTAAACATTTTCACTTGATTTAAAATCCAAAAAAGGCGGTAACGCACTGTAAATTGACGGATTTTTTCTCAGAAGACTTCTTATTTTGTAATATAACAAATTACGACACTTTATTTTTACCAAAAAAAAAAAAGACCAGAAGCAAAATTGTCTTGAAAAAGACAGATCTCTTAAAAACGAACTTCCAAAACACAAACGACCAACAAAGCAAAAAGACAACGAAACGTGGAAAAGCAGTCAACAAGCACGAGAGACAGGAAGATAAATGTAGACAAGAAGAAAAAGACGAGACGAGACAAGGAATGTGAGACAGGCAATGAGACGTTAACTTATTTGGACAGTTTCTTTTCTTTTCAATAGGATTCCTATTTCTTGAAAGTAGTTAAGTGATTTTGACTTTGTTGGTGTTTTCTGTTTTAAACAATATTATTCATTTTGTATCATAATACGAAGACCAAACCAAAACTGTGTTCGGTGCACTCCCACCTGCTGTACTCTTTCGTGGTGAAACCTACTCTACACACTTTAGGTGATTCTGGCCGTGAGGAGTAAATACTTTGAGTCTATACTTTCCGAAGATCCGCAAAACACAAACCAGGTAAAAGATTTGAGGATTTGTTGCAAAATAACCCTTACTATAAAAATTTCAGACCGAAATAACAATAACCGGTGTGCCTTTTGACACTTTACGTGGTCTATTAAAATACATTTATACAGGTGGACCATCAGTTTTTACAACAGAACCAGGTTTATGGATAAATTTCAGATACCATCGATGTTGATTCAACCCCTCAGTTACTTGAATTTGCCCATCAACATTCATTAACAGACTTCCAAACTACCATCGTTAAAAAACTAAAACCACTTCTAAATATGAAAAATATTTGCGCCGTCCTCAACACTGCCAATCTCTACGATTTAGAAGAACTGCTCGAAGCCTGCTATTCTTTCATGGACCTTAACGCATCTGAAGTTGTCACCAGTGACTGTTTCACTCATCTGTCCCAAGTAAAACCAAAGTACATTATGACCTCGATAATCCGAATTAATTGGGGAAAAGGTGTGTTCGGATTAGCGATTTGTTAGAATCAGCGAATTTCCCAAAAATCTGAAAGGGAATTGAATAACAACTTCATACACTGTTGAAAACAAACTTCAAGAAATAAACCTTAATTTTTTTAAACAGAAATAAAGTATTCTTAGGCAACAATGGATAATTGATACATTCGAAAAAAAATTACTGCGTGATCATAAACACGCTATATTTTTGGAATCAACACGTAGGGATTTGTTTGTATTCCTGAATTTTTTCAGAATTTTTAGACGAATGAAATTTTCCAATATGTGTTACCTACTTATGCAAATTTCGACTCATTCTCAACGATTTTCGAAATTTAACTAAATACATTTTCTTCTACATTTTTAAACCGTTTATCCAGAATCGTCCATTGAAATATCGAGATTTTGAAAAATTTCAAAAAATTCAATACAACATGTGCACAGAGGAAATCTTGCGTCATTTTTGCAAGTAGGTGCATATTTTCAAGTTCAGTTCGGATTGCAGAGTTTTTGTTCGGATTAAAGAGACATCGACTTCAACTAGTCTCTGGTCGGATTACTGGATGTTCGGATAATCGTGGGTTCGGATTATAGAGGTCATACTGTAGTGTTAATGTTTACACACGTTATACTTTTGTTACAGAAATCGATGA